GTGTTCTTAATGGCTCTTACCGATTACTACAGCTGTTCTGATGGTTCAGGAATGCTCGTAATTTTGATCTTAGTATATCAACAAGCCATATTTTATTACACAATTCACATCCATTTCAAAAGTCTCACTAATGAATGCATCATTAATTTAGTTGTATAAAACAGCAGATACCACCAAGAGAAAGAAAAGGAAGATGTTAACAGTTATCATGCTGGGTAGAGCAACAAGATGCTGTTGCTCAAATGAACATTATCCATTACATGTTTCCAATGTTTGACTACTTCTTTAAAAAAAATGTAGCAAAAACCTAAGGTAAGGTATAGTAATATATGCTAAATTTGATAAAGATTAGTCATATACTTGGCAAGTTAAAGCTATTGAATGTAACCAATTTGAAATTCCTATGTAGTTTGACGCAAGAGTAATATAACGAACATGCTGTATCCTTGAAAATGAATTTTAAAAAAAGGAAGCTACAGCTGCATGTATCAATACTAATGAATGATTGAGCTAAAAGGGAAAATAGGAATACGGTACATAGGGCTTCCCTGGTGGCACAGTGGTTGAGAGTCCGCCTGCCAATGCAGGGGACACGGGTTCGTGCCCCGATCCGGGAAGATGCCACATGCTGCGGAGCGGCTGGGCCCGTGAGCCATGCCCGCTGAGCCTTGCGCATCTGGAGCCTGAGCTCCACGGGAGGGGCCACAACAGTGAGAGGCCCACGTACCGCAAAAAAAAAAAAAAGAAATACGGTACATATATCATCTGTATAGAGTTTAAAAACAAGCAAAATGAAACTATTATTATATTCAGGCATGTGAAAGATACAGGAAGAATAAGAAGATGGGAAACAAAATTCAGAATCACTACTATCTCTAGAGCCTTCAGCTATATGAGGGAAGTGCTATAGATTTTGCTGGGACTTCATGAGAACTGATTTAATAGTCTGTTTCTTAAGTATAATGCTGGGTATATGAGTATTCTCTTATTCTTCAACTTACAAATATGTAACATTTTATATTATGAAAAGTAAACAGAAAAACCTTTGCATCAGTTAAATAATGTTGTCATTTAGCAAAAATTTTAGTCTAAATGAATAAAATAATAATTTCCTGTAGCTACTTATGCCATTTCTTTGCTTTTACATTCTCTTTTCTCAGTCTCTGCATTCCCAGTATCCCACCAGTTTCCAAATGATATAGGGAAAATATCACTGACATTTCTTATCAATTTACCTTGTGTTTAAAATATTTTAATATCTTATTTCCTTATAAATTTTCCATTTGTTTTAAAAAGGTAATGTGCTTTCTTAAACATGGACTTCTTCACAGAAGCTAATATAAAATCTCACATATGAGGACAATCATAATATTTTCATTTCAATGAATAAATATAAAACAATCTGAAATGTGTTTCTTGCTTTTATTAAAGAGGATTTTTAAATGAAACACTACGGTATCAATTCGAAGATGAGTTTTTTCACATATTAATGCCACATTTAAAATCAAAGGCAGTATAGATTTAATAAAATATCATACATGGACTCACATGTAGAATTTCATATTCCAAACAGAAATTTCTATTTACCTGCTTTTGTGGGGCTTCCAAGACCATTTTACTGTAGAGTTTTTAAAATGCGTTTATATTTATGGGGTTGTGTGTGTGTGTGTGTGTTTGTGTGTGTGTGTGTGAAATGCTTAAAATTAAAGGGGAACATCCCTCCGTGGAAAAGGAGAGTTTACAGGAAAGAATTACCTAGGCATTCCAAAATACCCTAGATTTTTATTTAGATAAGTAATCCTGATAAAAATAGATAAGCTGACTACTCTATTAATAGTTTTATTGCCAGGGTCATCATTTCATACTCTTTATTAGTACCACACCACTTCTCCAAATACATGTTCTAGATACGATTGCTTGTAATACCTAAATATATGTATAGAGCAACTTTTGAGGTAGCTGATTATGTGTTTGCTCATCTCAATTTACCACTGCAAGAGCAACATTCTCATTTCATGAGGTGAAAACCACATTTTTCTCAGTGACAATTAATTTGATTTAGGAATTCAGCACACGTTTCAGTATAACCTCGTGTGGAAAGTGAGCACAAGGGAACCTAGCCAGCTTTGAGGTAACTGTCTTGAACTCTGCGCAACAGAGGTACTCCTTGCTGAGTTGTGCCAATATAACCCATTCAGGTACCCTACTCTGGCCAATAAACCACAGAGAAAATAAATTGAAAATGCATAATTCCTCCCAAGGCTAGCTTCTTGAGTGACACTGGGAGATATTCCCAGTGTTTCATCCCTCTGCACATAAAGTAACAGAAGTTTGGGAACAAGATAATTACACTAATGCAAAACAAAGTTTTTCTACCATTTCATGATTTTATTCTTCCTTATATGTTGTGGTTTCATATAAAGTAGTTAATCTGATTGTTCACTAAGAATGACCTCTTATTTTTATTTTTCACTGGCACTCTGAGCATCATTTCCCCAGAGAAATAGAAAAAAAAGTTCAGGTATGATCTGACTTAAATATGTGCAAAAGATTCTGAGTTTTTGCAAAACCAGTTTCTCATTCTCTAGAGAAGATGTGGCAGGAACTCGGGGAAAGGAGGAGGGAGGTTCGAGGGGTTAACACAGAAGAGTAGAAAGACAGAATAGGTAAGAAGGAGAATATCTGAATGGAACGAAGGAGTATTTCCCAACTTCATGACCAGTTAATAGAATGAAGGGACTCAGGAAAAGAAGTTTCCTCAAATGCGAACTCCATCAGCACCATTGACAAATATCCTATCATTGCACATGTCAGCAAACCTCTCCTCCCTCTATAAAACAAAAATGTTTGAAGATATATACAACTTGTGTATAATAGGACATGAAGTGAAAAACATCTCCCTCAACAAAAGAGAGATGAACACAACAGCTGTTCTTTGGCTTTTGAGTCAGCTAGTAGGTATCCTACCCTCCTTATGTTGTAATTGACTTCCACTGGGTAAGCACTCTTTGCCTATCCCTTCTTTTTGAAAAGGCAAAACTGATCATCACTAGTAGTCAACACTACATGCTCCATGAGGAAGCAGATATGACTACCGGGTCTAAGTACACAAACACACTCAATACTACTCACTGCAGTTCCACTGGTTCAATAAAATGTTTTCAAAGTTATGGTGTCAGCCAAGCCATATTACCAAACAGGTCTGTTGTTTTTTTTTTTTAATTTTCCGATCTATTTCTATACTAAGCCTTGCCTTCCACCCTATATATCTTTGCCTATCATTGACTATGATTGTATAAGCTGTATAGTCTGAAATAGATCTTCTTCTGGCATGGTCATGATTTCGCCTATTTTCATTCTTATATGAATCATAGCCAAAAAGAAAATAAAAAAGGAATTCCCCTATGATCTTAGATCCAGGGTAGTAATTATACTTATATAGTCAACAAGGAACAAAACTTCATTCCCAGGAATCTGGATGTCTGCTTCTGGCTTCCTCTAGAATTTCAGGTCTATAGAATGTTGCCATTAAAATTTATATGAGTGTTCTATTTCTGACAATACTGAAAGATAATCTGAAAAAAAGGCTAGTTATGAAAAACCTGCACATACAGGAAAATGTAGCAAGCATGCCTTAATTTGCACAGTAGATCTTATGTCAGTAACAAAAGTCATTTGTTTTGTAATATCAAAGTAGCTTATATAGAAATAACCTTCCCAAAGAATTACAGAGGTTGGACAAAATCTCTAAAATCTCTAAAAAACAATTATTTGAGGCACTATAGAGTTATAAAAAACTAAGCAGAAAATTGGGGTAAAATGATCTTAAAAAGAAGGGATCCTGTAATAGTTTTCTAGGGCTGTTGTAACAAATTACCACAAACTTAATAACTTAAAACAACATTCACTTATTGTATCACAGTTCTGTAGGTCAGAGGTCTGAGCAAAGTATGGCTGAGCTCTCTGTTCTGGTTCTCACAAGACTGATAACATGGTGCCAGATAGCTCTGTTCTTCACACAAAACCCCCTCCATCTTCAAAGCTAACAGGGGAGGAAGGATTGTGTGTACATACAATCCTTTCCTATTCTTTCAGTATCTTTCTTCAAGAAAGAGAGATTCTCCAGTTCTTGAGTTTGGGGTTAGCAAATACACACTACTATATATAAAATAGATAACCAAAGGTCTACTGTATAGTACAAAGAACTATACTCAATAACTTGTAATAACCTATAATGGAAAAGAATCTAAAAAGGAATATATATTTAACAATCACTTTGTTGTATACCTGAAACTAACATAACATTATAAATCAACTATATTTCAATAAAAAATTTTAAAAAATAAAATAAAAGCTCATCTAATTAGGTCAGGCCCTCCATGGATAACCTCACTTTCTTAAAGTTAACTATGCTATATAATATAACCTAAGTAGAAAAGTGATACACCATCATACTCACATTCACGGGGATTTATACAGGCCTGTATACCAAGGGAAGGAATCTTGGGGGGGCCATCTCAAAATTCTGTCTACCATAGGACCACCCTGGACAAATGCTCATTTATGTGGCTTTTTCCATGAAAGCATTCTACAGAACACAAGAATGCTGGGTGGCTAGAACTCAAATAGAAAGCCAGCAGTTTTACTGGCTTAAAATATGAAAAGACAAAGATCAGAAATTGCAGACCAGCTGGAAATTGAGGGGGTAAATTTCAGAAAGGAAGGAATCACAGAAAGGAACAAAACATCTACATACCAACTGTTAAATTTTTGGTTGACCTCTTATTTATTATGTCAATACAGTAAACAATATTTATTTTCCAATTTTGAATCACTCTTGTGTTCCTGAGATAGATCTCACTTGGTCATGGTGCATTATTTTCATACATTCCTGAATCTAAAAATATTTTGTTGAGGATTTTTTACGTATACGTTTATGAGGGATACTGATCTATAGTTTTCTTATAATACCTTTATCTGATTTGGCATTAGGGGAGTACTGACCTTATAAAATGAGTTGGGAATCATCCTCTCTTCTTCTGTTGTCTAGAAAAGATTATTTTAAAAAGGTACTTTTTTTTAATATGTTAGGTAAAATTTGCTAGTGAAGTCATCTTGGCCTGAAGTTTTCTTTTTTGGAACACTGCCTTTGCTTTTGATGTCAAATCCAAAAAATCATTGCCAAGACCAGTATTAAGGAGCTTACCTGCTATGGTAAGCTTAGCTTAAGCTTATGGAGCTTACATTTCTAAAAGAAGAAACTTTTCTTCTACAAGTTTTATAGTTTCAGGTCTTTAATCCATTTGAGAGTTTTTTATGTATGGTGTAAAATAGGGATCCAGTTTCATTCTTTGTATATGGTTATCTAGTTTTCCCAACAACATTTATTGAAGAGACTTTTCTTTCTACATTGTATATTCTTGGCTCCTTTTATTGTAAATTAATCGACCATATATGCAGAGGTTTATTTCTAGGCTCTCTATTCTGTGCCATAGATGTATGTGTGTGTGTTTTATGCCAAAATCATACTGTTTTGATTAGTATTGTTTGATTAGTATAGCCATGTCTTAACATTTACAGTGTACAGATCTTTCAACCAGTTGGTTAAAAAAAAAAAATTAGTCTTGGTTATTTTATCCTTTTTGAAGCAACTGTAAATGGTACTGTTTTTTTTTTTTTTAAGATCAGACTATCTTTTCTGACTCATCCCCCATCCTCCCATAACTACTGAAAACTTGCCTCCATGTCCTTTGGAACTTATGTTCCATCACTGACATAATCCTCTATATTCTTAACTTATTCTCTCAATGATTCTTTTAGCTTATTATTTTACCTAAAGGTTGTTTTGTTTCATTTTTCTATGAAGATACTGCCTCTCCTATGTTCAATATTAAATATTTTTATTACCACACCACATTTTATTACTAGTTTTTGAGGTCGGTAGGTATCTTCTTTCTCTTTAATATTATTTTCAGACCATTTTCTCTTCTTCCTCTCTAAAAGTACCTAGGTTTGAAATTCATGTCATGCAATTAATACCATTGAGAACTCCTAATTTTGGTCATCAACAAACTTAAGTCACTCTCCTCATTTCTCATATATATTAACTCCTGAATTACTGTCACTCTCTCCTATATAACACAAGTCCTATTTCTTGTGCTATAAATATCTAGATGATCTGTCCCATCTGGTCTCTCTAACCCTGAACGTTTCTCCTCCAGTGATCTTATTTCTAGCTGACTTCAGCCCTTACTTTCATAACCATACATTGGAACTCATCATTTCCAATGTCTTCGATGACTCTATAATTTCAAGTTCCAACATTCCATTCTATGAACATCACCTCCTCTCTTTCTATCTCAGTCCTTCTAGTTCCATATATCCAGGAAATGCTCGACTCCATTGCAATTTAAAATCTATATCACCAACCTTTTCTCCCCCTCACCTACTCATTTTCTCTCCTTTACACTATTGAAGTCAATAGTTAAACATTACAAACCTTCTGCATATATCCTTAACTCTCTTGCTCTTCCATTTCTTCATCTAATTGCACTGACAAAACTGCATCTCTGTTTATATCCAAGTCTCTACTTCTTCCATATCTGCACCACTATAGCAAAATATGGCTGGATAAAAGCAATATCATATTGACTGGCATTCAAGACCACAGCCCTTAATGGTGTTGTTATAGGTAATATGACCACATATTTTATTGTCAAAACTGGAAAACTTCTGAAAGTGAAAAATCAGTGTCATTGTTACATGCTATAGGCATAAATCAGGACAGTCTGAAGTAAATTGGGACTGTCCTCGGGAAACTGTGATGTATGATCACTCAGATTTTTGGTGAACTGCCCACAATATTGTCTAGGCCAACTGGGTTTCTTTTGTGTAACTGACTTTACTCAAAGGCTGAACTGCAATAATTCACCCCTCCATCCCAAATAATTTTCTTCATTCAAAGGACTGTTATTCTCAATGACTTTTACATTAGTAAATCTAGTGCCCAATTACCAATGCTCATATGACTGTACTTCACAGCAGCACTTGACAATTTGGCCACTCTCATCCTCAAAACACTTTCTTAACATCTAGAACACTACACACTTCTAGATGTCTCCTTACTTTACTGGCTACTTTTTTCAGAATCATTTGCTACTTCCTCTTCATTTCCCAGGCTTCTTAAGGCTGGGTGCCCTATGACATAAACCTTAATCCTTTTACTTTCCCCTATCAACACTCACTCCCTTGGTTACTTAATCTTGGTTCTTGGAGTTAAGTTCTATCTAGATAGAGATGACTTCACATCTATGTCTCCAAACAATCTCTCTCCCCTTAATACAAGATGCTCATATTCAACTGCTTCTTCTCCCTACTTGGAGGTCTCAAAGTTATCTAATTTTAACAAAATTAAGATTTCTAAATCTAAATTCTTGACCTTCCCTCCAAAACTGCTGTTATCTCAGTCATCTCCCATCTTTGTTAAATAAAGTCTTGCAGTTGTTCAAACCAAAAACTTAGAGTTAGTTTTAAACTTTCTTTTACTATCATACTTCATTTAAAATCCACCAACAAGTTGCATTCGCTCTACCTTCAAAATATTTCCAGAGTCTGACCACACATTGCCACCTCTACTGCTACTACTCTGGCTTAACTCAAAATCATTTCTCAGCTGGATTATAGGAGTGGATCATCTTGCTTCCTTCCATTTTCCTCTATATTTTATTCAACATAAAATGCAGAGTGACTTCATAAAATCTAAAACACTGTTACTACTCTGCTCAAACTTTCTGTAGGCTACCTATTTACTTAGAGTAAAAGCTGAAGTTCTCCAACAATCTCCTTCCATATCTCACTACCACTCCCCACTACCTCTCTGACATTACTAGTGTCCTCAGCTTATTTTACTTCAGTCACAACTGCTGTTTCTCTAACACCCAGAATACTTCGCCCCCAGAGTACTAGCATATGCTGTTTCCTTTGCCAGGAATACTTTTCTTCCAGATACCCACATACCTTATTTTCTCATCTCTTTGCTTACATTTCACTATCTCAGAAGATTCATTTATTGAATTTCCAACCTCTAAAGATGCAATTTCCATAAGAACACCAACCACTAAAGATGCACTTTCCATAAGAACATCAATTTTATCAATTCTTTCCACTGTTCTATTTCTAGTGCCTAATGGGTTCTCAATAAATATTCATTGAATAAATGAATGAGTTCAATGTTTCTCTGCCTCTTAGTAGACTCTGAGAGCTTCATGATTTTATAGCAATATAAAACAGCAGCTGATCTTCATAATAGTTGATGACATAGTTGAAACTTAACCCCGATGACTTGGAGCAAACACATGGTTCAAGATAGAGGAAAAAATTTTTTAGAGGATGAGTATTCTACAGAGACTGAAACACCAGGGTCTTTGTTGGAGTTCAGGTTCTTCTCACACGACTCTTTTCTGGTCTTTCCTACCTTCAGATAGATATGCGATCAAGAGCCAAATTCCAAATATAAGGCCTAGACCCAAAGCAAATGGGATCTCAGAGGGTATTTATCCTATTTTAAGTTCTGTACCAAGTTTAATGAACAAAATATTTCCTTATATTTCCTAAATGCCTGATTAGGCAACCACATTAACAGTTGTTCTTATTCTTAATGTGCACAAGAATCCCTTTGTTGCTTATTTAAAATGCAGATTCTCTGACCCCATCCCTATAGATCTTACATAGTCAGTTGTGAGTGGGACCAAGGAATTTGTATTTCTAACAAGCAACCAACCCTTGCCACTGATATCGACCAAACAATACAACACATTGAGAAAACTGACATAAGGCTTTGAAACTAAATCCATTACTAATAAATAATGATATTTAGAGAGTTTGCCTTTTATCTTCCTGAAGAACCTATAGTTACAGCACCCAGCTAAAGATGCAGAAACTCATCTCAGCCTTATAATTTCCATTTGAGACCTAACAATAACATGATACCTAATTACTAAGCAAAATGTTAATTATCTTCATTATCACCCACTTATTTAAGAATTGGTCATAAATTTGAAATTAAAATTAACCCATCCTCTCAAAGTTGGTATTTCTAAATACCAACTCCACTCCAAAAGAAATGACTTACTTTAAAGCACAACAAAGCATATTACACCCAAACATCCCTGGGGATTACACTGAAATCAAACAGAAAGTAGAATATAATTGAGGATCAAAGAAGTTTTCCTGTGATAAGTACAGGTTAAACTGCTGGGAATCAACATGAAATATCAAAAAGAATAAGGAGTCTCATTAATAGTGTTCATTCCACCACTGACAGGCTTTATTTTCTTTAGCTGTAAAATCAACAAGCTTGAATAAATATTTGCTAAACCGTCTGCCTTGCTCAAAGTTTTATCTTCAATATAATATGCTTACAAAACAAGAAAATAAATTCATGAAAATTTTTATCAAAATTTTAAAATAAATACTGGTACTTACATGAAATAGTTTTAGGGAACTGGAGAATTAATTCCTTACTTGATTCCTTATAGAGATAATTACAGGACATCTCACTGTAAGTTTATGCAAACTAACTGACAATATATGTTCAAATTCTTCATAATTATGAGCATTTATCAGAGGAATAAAATGTATTAGAGAATACATCTATGATCTCTTTTATACTGTAAGCAAAATAGCATTGATTCTCAGAAACCACAAACCCTTTGAACTAAAACGTGTAAACCTTTTTACTTCAGAACAAAACCCACATCAGTTTATTTTAGAAGGCCTAAATTTGTATACTTGACCTTAAGTCAAGAAGTTATAAAAATCTGTTCAACTGGTTGCATTAAAAAAGAAAAACAAAAACAGAAAGACTCGTAGAGAAAAATCACTAAACCTTACTGCATCAAACCTGGATTGTGGTGGTAGTTTATGCTAATATGAGTCCTACGTGTATACTGAAAATTGCATTTAAAAAAAAGAAATCTATACAAATATCCTTGAAATCACACCACATCTTTATTGTTCACTTATAAATTTCTAGTGACCATATTAGATCATTATTAATAGTGATTATAAATTGTACCAAATAACCAGCTAGGATCATTATTTTACCTTTTATGAGACATAGAACTTTGTGTGGAATTGTCAGAATGTGTACATGTATTGGATATTTTTCCTTCTCTCAGAAAGCTCTGGCATACCAGTTGGCAGGGTAGTCTGGAAAGATTTAGAATTTGGAATCTAAGAGAGTTTTAAGGCACCACATACAGTCTCTAATTGCCCCCAAATTATACAGTTTGTAGCAATTTGTAAAAGTAATACTGAGTTAACCCAGGTGGCCCTATTGTTTCATGATTCCCTCCAGGATCCCCTGAAGCAAGCTGGAAACTTTGTTGAATTTATAAAACAACCTACCTTCCCATGAGTTCTTTGGACCAGCCCAGATGCCAGGAGTGACTCCTCAAGTCATACAGCAATGTACTTTATTGTTCGTGAGGCCTCATCATTTCTGGCGGAAAGAGGTAAGCAATAAATAAATAGACATTGATTGTATTGCAACTGAGATGCAACTGAGATTGTATTGCAACTGAGATGTAAGATATATAAGAATTAATTTGCTCTGATATTTATAATCAAGGAAGAGGTGATTAAATTTTATCATAAATCATGTAATATAGTATTAAGTGCCAAAAGATTGCTTCAGATGAATTTATTGTTAGTTCAGAGACAATCATGTATTTCTCTGGAGATAATTGCCTAAGGGGTAGCATGAATTTGACTTAGGCCTCAAAGGATGTGTAGATTTTGGATATATCAGAATTGAGCAGAACATATATTAAAGAGATAAAGGAGAACAAAGAATGTAAGTCATTTATGTGTAGGAGAATAACAAATTGATAGATAAAGAAAATAAAAGAAAATTAGTGGAAATGCAATATATTTTAGGTTGAATTATTTGAAAAAGATGAAAAGTCATATTTGGGCAACATCATAGACCTTCTTTGAATGACAGAGTAAGAAGAAACTTAAGAGTTGTGCAATTTAGGGTCTGACAGTTAACAATTTGTGGTTAACTTCTAGTGGCCTCTTTATCTTGTATGTTCCTGATATTTGTTTCTTGTCAGTATGAAGAATCAAACCAAGATATGTCAGTTTGGCATGATTATAACTGCTGCAACAACTTGGCCTATTTTATTTGACCCTCATGTCAAAACTTAAGAAACACGGATTTGCTTTATAAATGTGTGTTGAAAAAATGGAAGAGATGAAAAATATGAAATTTATAATATTCATTTCCTCATACTTCTTGTAGCTCAAGAGCAGTTTGTTTTTTCAAACACTTGTGTCATGCTGTGAACTGACAGCTAGTCTTTGAAGTGAAATTCTTCTTAAATAAGGACAGTTCAACATCCTTCTCCTTTTGGCAAAGAATCAATAGTGCACTCAATTCTAGAATGTGCCTTCTGTTAGAAAAACATTGTATTTTAGTGTATTAATTTGTTGTTACATAATACCTGAAATTTATAAGGATGAGGAGATGGCTTCTGTCTTGAATTAGGCAAAGCTAAGAGAGCTAATCTAGTTTTATAAATGTATGATCCTGATCCTAATTTTCCCTATTCTTGAAACATCTAGAAAAGCTCGAAGTAGTGAAGATGCCATATCAGGATTTGTATGTCTCTCTCTTAATCTAGGAAGAAAAAGTTCACTAATATAATAAATAACAAAGAAAAAAATGAGATATTTTTTGTTCTGTTTTTGCTGAATTAGGAGTTATGGAAAAATGACAGAGAAGCACATTCAGGCCTTTGTTACCTACTCTCTTGTTATGGGTAACAGAGAGGGCGATTAACAGACTCTGTTTTAGGAGCTGTCTTGAAGAAAAACCCCACTCAGCTCACTATTAGGTAACAGAAATCACTGAGAAAAGAAGAACCTAGAGCATGGCTCTCTGAGGTCAAAGCTAACATAAACCAAAGCTGGGTAAAAACAAAAACATACCAGGATGTGATATGGACCTTTAGAAAACTGGGAATAGGAAAAAAAAAAAAAAGAGGACAATAATTACATGTTCAGCTTACTATAGAAGTGGAAAAAGCAAGTATGAAGTGCTACTGATATTTTCAACTTAGATGCTCATGAGGTGGTGTGGACCAGGATTTGTAGAGGGATTATGAGCCAGTGTTGGATTGATGAGGTTATTAAATAATTGGGAATATTATACTTGCCACACTACTTTCATTCTCCCTCCTGTGAGCATGATGAGGATGGGATGGTATGATCTATATACAGAACAATATGGTGCAATATTATAGATAGAAGAAATTAAACAGACTTCTTTGAAATGAAGCTAAAATTTTACTAAAACTCTATATGGACTATATATCATGTCCACATATAAGACCTTCATTTTTTACTCCTTTTCAATCTTCATGTTAGTTAAGAAACTTCCCTCTAATGTTTTATTTTATTGACTGTAATTCTTTTGCTTTCTCCCGTGAAAATGCAGACACATGGGTCAATAATTTGTTAGTTTCTGGGCAACACACTGATTCTTCTATTTGATTTTTCTGTTGTCTCTGTTTCCTTCCAATATACACTTATCTCCTTGAATAAAATTTTTCTGGAGCAAACTAATATGGTCTAATACAGAATTTAATTATATCTGAGCTGAATAATAGTTTGGGCAGTTTATCAGTTTTACAATCCAGAAATCTTTTCCTCGAGGACCTGGAAACCATCTGGAAATATAATCATCTAGAAAGATAGTGCCCCTCCCTCCCATTCTCCTTGGGAGGATAGGAACCGTAATGCAGCTGACTCCAAGTCATAAACCTATGGCCTGTCGTAAAGATGGGAGAAATTCATTTTTCTTTAGATTAAGGCAACTAGCAAACACAAGTGGCTATCCAATTATCAGATGCACAGGATAAACTATATGTGACAAATGATGCTACCAAGTTCTCTTGGAGTTATCATTTATCTTGAAAACATGTTTCAAATGGGTTACATCTGCTTGACTATGTAAAACGATAAGATTACTTTCTGTCTTTGTAGCCCTTTGGTGGACTGCCTGTGATGCACAGCACATGCTAAATTAAAGTTTATTCAATAATATGTTTTCTTTTTCCTCTACTTTTGTGGAGGTCTGTAGATTGTCAAGAGATTTTGTTTTAAATTATGTTTCCCCAACTGTATGCACCTAACAACAGAACTTCAAAATACATGAAACAAAATTGGTAGGCCCAAATGGAGTAATAGAGAAGTCCATACTCATATTCTGATATGTTTAACTTCCCTCTCTCACCTCAATGACTGATAGAAAGTTGACAAATCATCAATAAATATTATACATGACTTGACAAACACACTGAGACAAACTGGTAAAATAGAAAGTTGACAAATCATCAATAAATGCTATATGTGACTTGACATAATGAGACAAACTGATAAAATATAAAATACATATAATATAAATAACAAAATAGAAATTGAGATATATAAAACATTACATCAAGTATTTGCAAAGTACACATTCTTTTCAAGTGCAACTAATACAAGATGATCTATAAAATACTCTCGGTAAATTATTTCAAACATTGAAATATAAAATATGTTCTCTGGCATAAAAAAGTAATGAAATTTAAAATAAACAACAAAATTTCCAAGAAACCCCAATATTTGGAAATTAAGCAACAAACATCTAAATAAATCAAGGTCAAAAGTGAAATGATAATTTGTGGTTCTAAGAGGGAAACATATAGTTTCATATGCTCATATTAGAAAAAAAGTATTAAATCCATTATCTAAATATCAACTTTAAAAAAACAAGAAGGGGCTTCCCTGGTGGTGCAGTGGTTGAGAGTCCACCTGCCAATGCAGGGGACACGGGTTCGTGCCCCGGTCCAGGAAGATCCCACATGCCGTGGAGCGGCTGGGCCCGTGAGCCATGGCCGCTAAGCCTGCGTGTCTGGAGCCTGTGCTCCACAACGGGAGAGGCCACAACAGTGAGAGGCCCGTGTACCGCAAAAAAACAAACAAAAAAAACAAACAAGAAGAACAAATTAAAAGCAACCAATTAGAAAAAGGAAATAATAATTAATGCAAAACTTAATGAATTAGGAAATGGAAAAACAGTAGAGAAAATGAATAAAGCCATAATTTCATATTCTGAAAAGTTTAATTGATAAACATCTAGATAGAGTAATCATGAAAAATGAGGAATATTAATATTATAACATAAAGAATGAGAGAAAGGACATCCTTACAGACCCTATAGATATTTAAAAGGCTAATTAAAGGAACCATTATGAACAAAGATACGATTATAAATATTGTAATTAGGTGAAATGAACAAATTCTTTCATATAATTATTTGGCAATATTAATACAAGGTATAGAAGTATTGTCTCTTTTCATGTCTGTTTGAACATAAAATCCACAATCCTTGTTATTTAACCATCTTTGTTGCTACGAGTCCTAAAATCGTCATGCATCATCTGTTGATCACAAATTTTATTTTTACACTTAAAATATTTTGGGTTTTAGTATATATTTTAATATATTTATATTTTCAATACATATATTTAAATTACTTAATTTATATAAATATTTACTCTTTATATTTATAAATATAAATTTATATTCATTATTTCCCAATTTATCTACTACTTTATTAAGAGCCTTATGTTTGGTTCTACCTTTTTCATTTCAATCTGATTTGAGAATCTCTGTTTCTTTAAAGCTCTGACTGCTTATTTAATACACATAACTGACATTTCAAACCAAGCAAAGACATTCTATTCAGGTAGTCACTTGATCTCAAAGGAAATAAAAGACATAGGTATTTACGCACAAGTGTGTATTATGTACTTAATACATATTAAATGTTATAATGTGGATCTGTTAGTACAACTGGATTCCATATCATCTAGATAAAACAATCATCATATCACTAGTAATTAACACTTGAAATTATGATACTTAATATTAAAAATAATTTAATATTAAAAATATTAAATTGTAATACTAAATATTAATCTTACAATCACACAGATAATTTGTCACAATTATCATTAAAAACTGAACTACTAAAATTAAGAGCAGAAGTAGACACATGATATTCTGTGGACAAAGCTATTGATGCAGTCCAAACAAATAAAAGCCACATTACCATGAAATTCTGAATCAATACACTCTCTTGACATAAACTCATGTGAAAAAAACAGAACACTATAACGTCTCTTAAATTGCTCAGCAGCTTCTACTGGCATTAAAATATACTGTCCCATCATGGGAAAAAACAAGCTTATTTACACATTCACTCAGTCAAATAGAAATTCAGAAGTGGCAGGACAGATTACCTGTAACTGTCATATGCTGCTTTGTAGGAGACACTGACTTCCAAAACTCCTTTGAACAAATCTGATTAGGATATAGTCTTTCACATATTATTTTTGTAACACATGGTAAGAGAAAACAAAGCTTCCAAACTCCACAAATGAGTAA